TTGTTACTCTTCAGTCTTCTAGTATTATCCTCCCCTCGGTAGATCATTAGACTTAACCACAACAGTTAAAGATTCAATGTACAGGCGTAGAATTGTTATCTTTACCTATAAGATGCTTTATCGGATGTAGGTCGTGAAGTTGACGTAACACATATTCCCGTTCTTATGTAAAGAAGTTTATAACAAATAGACACGGGTTTGAACAGTCCGAGCTGCTGACAGGTCTTAAGGTCATGTGTGTGTTTGTCACTCTAGCCTTCTGGCCTCCCGCCAGTAAACACCTGGTACGATGTCATGTACTACATGCGCAGTCTCGAGTTAACCATGTCTACAACCAACACTGTGTATATGTACAGCTGATTTGATTTTCTTTAAATGATATCGAATCAAACTAAAAAGGCTCAGTGCCAGTGCTAAGTGATATTTTGTTATGCCTAGTTTAGATATTAACAATGTTTTATCATAATTTGGAAGTATGGGTTTGAAGAACATACATGTACATACACACGTTTCTTGTCGGTCTGAAAACATAGAATTAGCAGAAGTATGCCTGCTCGAGGGAAATCAGAAACTTTATCGTCATATCGGTTAATCCCATGTTATAATACCGATACAGACCCAAGGCAAATTGATAAAAGAGGATGCTTATAGCCAGCGCAGCGACAGCGTTATGTTATTATGTGTGATAATTCAAATCATCTAGCTTAAACTGGCCATACGATCAACTTCAAACGGAAGTCTGGCTGGAACTTCAATATCCATAATCGATTTCCACAGCACGCAATGAGAACAGTCGACTTGTTGAATGGATTAAAGATTATTTTCACCGACAAAATATGTTTTTAAGCTTTCATGTGGAAATGAAATCCTATTGAAAGTATTATATAATTCAAATGAATTTAACAAACATATACGTTAATTGTTTGAACGCATGTAACAAATATCTCGTTGAAAAATTACAATTTTAACCAATTAAGATTAGAGCACGTTTGTTTTCCGATGTACCTGATTTCCAGTTTAACCTTCGGGAACTTTCATAACTTTTCGTGAACGAGAAATATTCTTTTACACGGAAGCAGCCGAAAGGTTCCGATTTGGCGTAAAACTTTTCCTGTTTCCTAATTATATTAAAACTGCAAGATGTGGATGTTCTTTCGATAAATGTTTGGAATTGATTATGATCAAGTTTTTGAATGTTTAGAAAATTTCCAGCAAACGCCTAAAAGGCACAATGATATAAATGGTGAATGTTTTGTTGTTTTTTTTTTTCAGAAAAAGGCAGTTTATGTAATATTTGTGACAGTAATAAGAATTTTTCACGACAAATTCTTTTAACAAATATGTATTTATATTGATTTTCTGCATACAATAGCAGAATAGTCTCATCAGTGTTTACAACTTTATCCCCTTTTTCTACCAAAAAAGGTAAACATTTCTTAAAAAACTAAAGGTTCTAAGTTCCACGTCCACTATTACGACCTTTTGGCCTTTCAGTGGTAGCAAGTTACGTCCACTATTACGGCCTTTTGACCTTTCAGTGGTAGCACCTTACATCCACTATTACGACCTTTTGACCTTTAAGTGATAGCAAGTTACGTCCACTATTACGACCTTTTGACCTTTCAGTGGTAGCACCTTACATCCACTATTACGACATTTTGACCTTTCAGTGGTAGCAAGTTACGTCCACTATTACGGCCTTTTGACCTTTCGGTGGTAGCAAGTTATGTCCACTATCATTACCTTTTGACCTTTCAGTGGTAGCACTTTACATCCACTATTACGGCCTTTTGACCTTTCAGTGGTAGCACCTTACGTCCACTATTACGGCCTTTTGAGCTTTCAGTGGTAGCACCTTACTTCCACTATTACGGCCTTTTAACCTCTCAGTGGTAGCAAGTTACGTCCACTATTACGGCCTTTTGACCTTTCGGTGGTAGCACCTTACGTCCACTATTACGACCTTTTGACCTTTCAGAAATAGCACCTTACAACCACTATTACGGCTTTTTGACCTTTCAGTGGTAGCACCTTACGTCCACTATTACGGCTTTTTGACCTTTCAGTGGTAGCACCTTACTTCCACTATTACGGCCTTTTGACCTTTCAGTGGTAGCACCTTACATCCACTATTACGACCATTTGACCTTTCAGTAGTAGCACCTTACGTTCACTATTACGGCCTTTTGACCTTTCAGTGGTAGCATGTTACGTCCACTATTACGGCCTTATGACCTTTCAGTGGTAGCACCTTACTTCCTCTATTACGACCTTTTGACCTTTCAGTGGTAGCAAGTTACGTCCACTATTACGACCTTTTGACCTTTCAGTGGTAGCACCTTACATCTACTATTACGACCTTTTGACCTTTCAGTGTAGCAAGTTACGTCCACTATTACGGCCTTTTGACTTTTCGGTGGTAGCAAGTTACGTCCACTATTACGACCTTTTGACCTTTCAGTGGTAGCACCTTACGTCCACTATTACGACCTTTTGACCTTTCAGTGGTAGCACCTTACGTCCACTATTACGGCCTTTTGACCTTTCAGTGGTAGCACCTTACGTCCACTATAACAGCCTTTTGACCTTTCAGTGGTAGCACCTTGCGTCCAGTATTACGACCTTTTGACCTTTCAGTGATAGCAAGTTACGTCCACCTCTTGTATAGTAATAAAACTCGATCTATTTTCGGCATGATTGGCTCGGCGAACACACTCTGTTGGTTAGTTGACAGGTGTCTCGTCGCGTGTAGAGGTACACGTATATAAATTATACACCTCGGTAATTAGGCCCATATTTGTGCAAACACACATTTTGTCCTCAGGCTCAGATACCATTGTTGATAAACCTGATGTCAGATACGTTGTTGTATAGATATTTTTAATGATTTGAAGGAACTTGGAGTGAGACATTATTTTCAATCCTTAAAATTTTCTGTATATCTGCTTTTCTTAAAATTGCCTTATCCCTCAAGTCCATAAGAATACATACCTGTATGTCTAAATTTACGCAATGGCACCGAGGTACTGTCGAAATATCTAATAAGACATTTATGTAACATAAGAGAAAGAAAGAAAGGAAAACATGCTACTGAGAAAAGATAGCTCATTTCTTTGAATGTCTCTTCATAATAGAGGCTTGGGTAGATCAGTCGTTACGACATCGAAAAAACTGAACCTCAAGTATAGCTCTGAGCTGTGTAGTTTGTGGTTCTCGTGAAACTGAATGCACGGACTGCCCCATGATGTTGTGGCTGTGGCTTTGGGCAAGACATGTGGGTTTCTTTAGATAGCGTGAGGCGGGTCTCACATGAAATTTAGTAAAGTAGCCACTAGCTACTAGAAAATAGCAAGAGATATTGTTTGTGGTGTACTTTGTAACTGTATAAAACATTGAGTTTAGAGGAAAGTAATTAAAGTAAGTGAAGGTTCGCATACTATAAGTGTACATCAATGTATGACATGCATGTTTTTTGGTAGTGTTTAAATACTCGTAACTTAGTTAAAACTAAAGCATTCGGTTAATGGAAGTCACTCAGGGACCATGTCGTAGTGTCGTCACGCTGAAATGCCATTACAATGATACGAGTATAATATCTGTTCTATTCAAATTAATAGAAATAGCAATTTTAATCATTTAAAAGACGAATAAGTCTATTAAACATGTACGTGTTTCGAGAAAGGAATAAAGTATATGTAAATGTACCCTGTTGCATGACTTAAGGTGAGGCGGCTAATGTGAACCTGTCAGATTCACGCGTGATTTCCCTATTGTAATTTATTTAAGACATGTTTGGGAAATCAAGACGCAGACCTGTTGTAAAATCATTGCACCGATTAGATAATGTGCATAATAAAGTCCAAGTTAAAGTTTCATTCGGTATATTCTACAAGGAGGGTACATTGAAAAAAAAAATCAAAATTGATAAACATTTGCATTTCAAAATGTTGCACTTACTTTATTTTGGAGTGAAGGGATAACGCATTTTGACATTTTTGACATTGATTTTTTTTTCAGACTATCCGACAAGAACATACATAAACCTAACCCTAGTGAACAATAAATGTCATTGTAATCAACAATGGAAACATGAGATATGTAGAACACGGAAATGATTGCATTGTGTCCGTAATTTTACATATCTAAAGCATTTCAGTATTTTGTTAGGGCATGTATGGTCAAATAAACGACAGATTTTTTTTAGACAAACAAATAGTTTTCTGAGAATGCTGTCATTTATTTGATCATAAATGCCATACAAACACTGCTCAATACTTTTTATGTTTTCTTCACATTTTGCCGTGTAATGCAGATGACAGCGATTTAAACTAGATTTAGTATTTAATAAGGGACGGGGGGGTGGGGGGGGGGGGGGGGTGGGTAAATTGATACACACAACTTTTTTTCTCTAGATCTTACCAAGAGATTTCCATGGCCACAATCCATTTCATTATCTAAGTTTTTAATTACCAGCAGTGCCATCACCCCGGGCCAGTTGAACAGACGTTCTTGAAGTTTAAAAAATCACATTTTCTTTGAGAATAATTGGCACGCGGTGGCTGTACGTCTTTTACACTATTTTTGATAAAGGAAGACTTAACAAAACATTTTCTGGACTTCCTATAAAAAACAGTAGGTCTTACAAACAGTGGGGTAGGCGCTTCTTTCTCTGATTTAGTTATATAGTAGTCGTACCGATATTTGTTGACCAGTATATGTTGCGCGTCTCTATGTACACCAGTTCAGAACGCTGTATTATCCGGGTTTGAACATGATTGATATGCTTGCATTGTACTACAAAATTAATGTATAGGAAAAAACAATACAACGAGAATCCATACCGACAACAAGTATTCTCAGCGGAGTCCGAAATGACTGAATAATTTATGTAATGTATTTACAAACACTGTTCAAGATGTAAGTAATAAACGTACACACATGCGTGCCAGTAAAAGAATGTGAGTGCCTCCGTTGAGATTCAGCTACACGTTATACGGTACACCGTGGACTCGCTGTATACCACTATGTACGACGGGCCACTTTGTTCCCTTTACTTTAGCTGTAGATCAGTCTATCAGTGAAGCGTTATCGGTTCATTGTGGAAGTGGCCTAAATTCAACAGACAGGAACTGACGTGGACTTCAACAAGGAACGATGTTGAAGTAATAATTATCCGACAACTTTGTTTATTAGACATACACGATGGGTAAGTAATCCAACTCATTTATATAATGGTTATTGACGTGTTGATACATGACACCTACTAGCTAACTAGCTGGAGAAGCTATATATGTATCGTTACTGTAACGAAAGCCAGTGTTATCTTTTATACGTCGATATCATCATATTTCCCCCCATGTGTGTGACACATTAGGTGGTTTGACTTTGGCGTACATTGTTTACATAACAGGCTTACACGTAAACATAGTGCATGAATTAGACGGAAGTTAATTAATTACATACCGTCCTATAGAATTTTGATCGTATGGTACCGGGCCATGATCGCGATGAAGCACTATCGTTTCGATTACAGCAAAACAGGAATCTCGTTTAGAACCGACAAACTTTGAGGTACCTAGCTGCATGAACTTAATTACACCACGTTGAAATGAATGGTTACATCTGGAGCTTGAGTGCGGAATTTGAATAACTTTGTTGTTTTACTCTGTACGGTAACTAACTTGTGTTTATCGTTAACAAAAGCAAACCACGTGTCAAGGAAATTTAAATATGCACAGTAACTCGTCAAGTTATGAAATATTGTTTTTTGGGACAACTTCTCGAAATACGCGTTTTATGTAGAGCCTGAGTATCTGTGTTCTAGAGCTCTGTGCACCTTAAAGTATTTCAATTTGATTATATATTCTGTAGGAGTCGAAACTAGCACACACACTTACTTTTAAAATAATAACTTATGATATATTTATTTAAAATAACGGTTGGATGGGTAACACATTGTTGACATTTTCCGTAGTTAATAACATGAGGAATTTCAGAAAATATCATGAGGGTTAAATTTTTTGGTTGATGTGCCGCGTTGACCATTGTACACGTCTACGCTTGAAACTGACAACTTACTAAACACTACACACATACTATCACAAATTTAAAAATATCTCAAGGGAACACGATAGATCTCATGACCTTAACAACGAGTAGCCCAGAGGCACATAACTCATTTACACACATGTGACAGCTGTGTACATAGGATTACTTGTGGCATGTGTGACAATCAAACATAGACTATACATTTGGGTAAAACTATATAACTAATTATTCTGCTGTGTGCTTACTTTTAATCCTGTATGAACAATTATTTGTATAATGTGATAAAATACATTCTTAATGTTGTTTTTTATTTACAAAAACAAGAAATTATTAATTCAGCTTACAACTTATCTGTCACGTGACCCTTGCATGGTATTTGGTCATTTTTTTAATACCTGGATATCTCTACTTAGGATTTCATATGATGCTTTTGAAGAAAATTGTACGAAATTATCTACTTATATTTTTAAGGAAAGTATGCACTTCAGTTTACCATTTAAATAAACATATGGTATTTGACTGAGGAAATTCTTTTTAGATCAAGCTGGATCAATCTACACACGTTCGAGCGGCCCTTAATAGCGACATAACGGATGTGTTGTTATCAGCCGAACAAAATGAGATAGGTGTGTAAATTATAAAATCAACAAAAACAAGCCTATTTAGACGATTATATTAGCTTGGACTATTCCTACCAACTTTCCCTGTATAAATTGACAACAGGAAGGATATTTTGATGACAACAATAGTTAGAATGAGCCCTGCAAAGGTACAGAACAAACAGAAAGTTTGCATCTTGGGCGGAACATCCCTTAAGATAAATATTTAATTAATGGAGAGGCTTAATTCTTGACTCATGTTTTGCTCTGTTCATACACACTAAAACAATGAAAAGGTGATTATTCAGGGTGAACAATACCGACAGCATCGCCATACAAATATCGTATCCCAGTCGGAAGATGTACCAAGGGAGATAACTATATAGATTTTCTGGAAACAAGTCAGAAAGCTGAACAAATGAGACATAAGTGTAGGAATTAGGTTGACCTAAAAATGTGTCATTTGCCATGTCTTTTAAAAACTCCTCGTTAGCTAAGGAGCTAAGTAAATTGAATTACGCCTTCAATCTGTCCTAGAGACTGGTAATTACATTTCCCTGCATATAAGCATGTACAATAAACTCCTGGAGATATGTAACGCCTAAGATATAGTGCGATATTCACAGTGGCCAACAACAACGTTTTCTTCTGTAATGGCTTCTAACTATATCTGTAATAGTGATGTCTTAGTATGTATGTCGTTAACTAGCCTACCAAAGCATGATTTTCATCGACAAAAAACATGTGAGAAACCTGGTCATTGCTTAATCTCGCTTGAAACTGACATTTCTGTTAGGTTAGAAATTCTGTTGTCATTCATCATCCAAATGACGTTATAGACAGGTATGTCGCTTTTGATTGCTTGTAATCCGTCAGAGTATTAACACTGAAGGCGCAGTGGTTTTTAATGAGTATATCCACGATTACACTCAAAATGAATAATATGTGTTAACGGAGCAAACATCTTTTTTTTTATTAAGTTTTCGTTTTTAAAGGGACTTAATGGTTAGATATTAATTTCGTAACTGATAAAAAGCATTATAACATTTAAATATCTGTTAAAAATTGTGTGCTTTCTGTTACTTATAATATTTCAAAGCTTTCATAACCGTTTAATTAGCAAAGTAAAAAAATTCAAATAAAATGGAAGCGACCAAACATTAATTAATATCATTATCGTTCGGAGAGTGTCAACAATGTCTTTGCTCATTCAATTTTAGACTAAGATAAATTCAAATTGATTTATTTCGCTCTTTCACACGTATAGCGTGAAACAAGAGGTCATTTTGTAAAGTAAGAATTGAAATATTTTCAAAATAAATATAACTACGCGCGCGCGCTTCTTCCAACGCATAATTCCGAACAGAGATTTTACATCGTGACACTGGAGTGATAAGGTTAACGCGTGTTTGAAAATCGATCCATGGTTTAGATCGAGTACATTAAGGTTTTTAGTGTTTATCGCTTAATATGACGGAGTTCATAAGTCATTCTAATGCCTTCGCTTCGAATTGGGGCCATCTGTGACATTGCCGGCCCGCTCGTCACATCTGGGCTGATTTCGGAAGAAAACTGAAATCATCTGAAGTCAACAGAATAACTGGCGCCGGCCATGTTGGGTATGCAAAGACGAACATACTTATCAGTACTCAGGTTCTCATGAAAACTTAAGGACGGTTGAATTTCCATTTATTTCTGTCTGTTGATCGTAAGACTAGAAATGATCTCGGTTTCATTAAAAGTTTGATGACGAAAACAACCCGAACTGTCACGTTGTACACAGACGGCAATCACAACTAACACAAGATTAATGCTGTTGTGCAAATGTAGGCGTGTGACGACGCTACTGTTGACGTCGGTGTCATTGCTATGCTGGGCTGTAGTGTATATATGTATTTTTACCCTCAGATACAGTGAGACAACAATTTTGCCGGATTTTTATATGCACACAATCAATTTTGTCCGTAAATTTATTATCGGCAAAGTGCATATACTACATGTGTAGTGAAAATGCCGAAATGGCAAAATTCACGTTTTGATCTGGCGCTGTGTTCTCTCTTCATTATAGCAATAGCAAGTCTACTTAGTATTTTCTTCCTTTCTTTTTTTTTCTTTCTATCTTTCTTTCTTTCTTGAATGTTTGCTGTTATGAATAATCTATATGATTAAATTTTGTGTTACAGTGTGTGGATCGTCACAAACCGCCAGCGTCAACTTCTGCTTCGGACTGGCCATCGGACTGGTGGTTGCTTTTGTGGTAGCCAGTCTGACGTCACTTCAGACACCTATGCTGACGTCCAGATATGCCAATAGTATAAACAAGTTCCGATACACTGTGATAGACGAAAATGGCGACAATAAAACATCATCCCGCCGGAGCTCAGATGGGCATGAAAACTGGCGCGAGGAAGAAGAAAAGTTCCATGAGGAGATGGATAAAAAAATTGACAAAGTAAAACAAGTCGACTTTGACGATTCCCACTTTCATAAAGGTTTGTAGTTTGGTTGTTGTAGTCACTGATGATCAGCTGTTATCACCTGCTTCTTAAAGCGTTTCTCTTAAGATAATTTATACAGCAGAAAACAGAAAAAAGGACAAAACATAGCTTAGGGCCTATACGTGTCATCTTACCTGTAGTACTGACACTAAATCAGAATGTTTAGTGGAGTAAAAGTATTAAATCAGACGAATTGTTAGCTCCATCCATTCCTCTCGTCTTCTGAAAGACGGAATGCGTACGGCTGTAAAGTCGGTTGAAATGATGATAAGGGAGCCAAACCATCCACAATATTTCATAAATTGTGAATTCATTTCTGTAAAACCGACCCTTCTAAATTATAAAGTCAAGCGTCAATTATTCGCAGATAAATATTACATAAAAAATCCAAATGACCGGAATGTCCATGTACATTTCCGTTTAATATCATACTTCCAAACACGATAGTAACAAGACTGACTGCAAGTTCTCTGTCGTAATCGTGCGGTCGATAGGACTTTTCAAGATGGCGGACTAACGTAACACCGGAAGGTAAGCTTTGCTTTCGAACGGTAATACCCATAATTTATATTATCACTATGATCATGGCACATATTGTATCTGATTCGCAAATAGTGCTTATATTGTTGTACGTATCTATCTGGATGATGATAAACTTAAAATGTAATGCGATTTGCGTGTAGACATCCCATGGTCAAAATTTCCTGGTTTTTTTTTCTTCAGTCGCGCTTTCCATTCCGTCACAGAAGATTGTTATTCGATTAGAGGCTTATCAAATCTTCAGTTTGAAATTAAAAGTCGGACTGGATTTATTCCATTGTTTTCGCTAGGTCTGATAGTTGAAGTCACACCCGCTTGGATACAAAGGATCGGCATGTTGACGAGGTTTACATGCAGATTGCACTACATTTTAAGTCTATCATCATCCAGATAGATACGTACAACAATATAAGCACTATTTGCGAATCAGATACAATATGTGACATGATCATAGTGATAATATAAATTATGGGTATTACCGTTTGAAAGCAGAGCTTACCTTCCGGTGTTACGTTGGTCCGCCATCTTGAAAATTACTATCGACCGCACGATTACGACAGTGAAGTTACCTGTAGACTGTACACCAAACTGATAAACCACACATTTTCTGTCACATACACATGAAATACCATGTTGACAATGACACACTAGCTGAAAGAGAGTAATGGACTGGGTAGATTTTAGGCACATCATGATGAAAACCGTCTCATTCAAATTTCTTGAAACTAAATATTTTACGGATATGGTTGACATCTTGCAGTCATGTTGACACATATTCCTTTATTACAATTATGATGACTTAAATAGGTTTGAAAATCATAAATAGACGTGTCGACATCTTGTCGGAAAGGTCTGGCGCTCCCCTTTGTTAGAATTCCTGAAGATACCGCTCTTAGATAAAGACCGTATTGAGGACTCGTACAATGGTAGTCATTACATCAATATTTACAATAATTCCATACATTGCGATAGTTATAAATTGGACATCGATGAAATTTATAAAAATCAAATATTCATTGCGGTTCTATCTTACAAATGTGCGATTTCATCATATTTGATATAGATTTAAAACTTGCTTATAACTAAGAGTGGGATAGGGTTTATTTATTTTCTAAATATGCAAGAATACAACTTATTAACGATCATTAATACATAGGTTGGACACTTGTAGATACAGATAGTTAGATACATTCGTAATTTGAAGTGTTTTGTTTACAAAGACCCACCTTAGCCTGCCTTAGTGTACAGACACACATTACATAATACATTATATATGTAAACATTAAATTGACGTCTCTTTATGTCACAGCAAGAAACATTTCAAATCTCATACCGTCAGAAAGGAAATTTCATTTTCATTACTTTTGTATTACTCTCATTTTTTATTCACTTGGTGCGGATCCGGACCTGTCAAGTATATACCCGTATACAGGTAAATCCAGCCGGCACGGATCCGGACCTGTCACGTATATACCCGTATATAGGTAAACCGAGCCGGTACAGATCCGGACTCGTCACGTATATACCCGTATACAGGTAAACCCAGCCGGTACGGATCCAGACCTGTCACGTATATACCCGTTTACAGGTAAATCCAGCTGGCACGGATCCGGACCGGTCACTTATATACCCGTATAGAGGTAAACCCAGCCGGTACGGATCCGGACCTGTTACGTATATACCCGTATAAAGGTAAACTTTTGTTGCCCGAGGTACCACTACTCGCCACTTTCTGAGGCGTGAAGCTTTATACGACAAGACTAATCCGTCATCCTGTTACAGGAACACGACCTGTCAGCAAACTTGGTTTCCCAATAGCTAGGATAATAATAGGTTATCTGTTTCTGCAAAGCTAATTAACAGACGATCCAAGGGTTAGTGGACGGAATTCAACACAATTATTGTATATGTTTATCTTTTGTGTAACGTTAACAAAGTTTTATAATGTCTTTTACTTAATATTAATTAATTAATTAATTTTTGAGGGGTTTTGTATATTTTCATTGATTATCTTGGTAACTTAGTCTTAATCCGAGAAAGGATAAATGGTTAAAATGTTGGCGTGTATGTTGGTACTAGTGGATTTCTGAAGCACTTTCGTTAACCAAATCAAGTGCCAATGATATCACATTTGAAGGGAAAAGCTCGAAATTTGACATACGGAAAGATATTTGATTTTGCAGTACTTTTCTTTATCTGATTGCAGATGTTGTTACATGGTAAATGTTGTGTCTATTTTACAGATAACGACAAGGTGGCAAAGGATCTAGAGAAGAAAATCCGAGTTTTGTGTTGGGTGATGACTAGTCCTCAGAATTTAGATAAAAAAGCAATTCACGTGAAACGCACGTGGGCGAAACGGTGTAACGTCTTGGTGTTTATCAGCTCCACAACAAACACAACGTTCCCAACAGTCGGACTCAACGTATCGGAAGGCCGAGAACACCTCACAGCCAAAACCATGCAAGCGTTTAAATACGTTTACGATACGCACTTCAATGACGCTGATTGGTTTGTGAAAGCTGATGATGACACTTACATGATATTAGAAAACCTTCGTTATTTCCTACAATCTTACTCAAAGGATGACCCTGTGTATTTTGGACATCATTTTAAGACAATAGTGAAACAGGGCTATTACAGTGGAGGGGCAGGATATGTTCTCAGTAAGGAAGCGCTTAAAAGATTGATAGAAAAGGGAAAAGATCCTAAAGTATGCCGTCAAGATGGCGGCGCCGAGGATGCTGAGTTAGGAAAGTGTATGGAGAATCTGGGTGTCAGAACTGTTAATTCTACAGACGCTTTAGGGCGAAGTAGATTTCATTGTTTCGACCCAGAGACACACTTATTTGGCGGATACCCTGACTGGTATTATAAATATGATGCAAATGGAGCTAAAAAGGTAAGTTTTGTGTGTATAGCGACTTCAGAAATCATACTTAATGCTTACACTTAATATGAAAGTATATATTGTATCTCCAAATGCAGAGAACATTAACATTTTAGCCAAAAGTGTAATGCGCAAGCATTTAGTTATATCTGTTTAAATGATTGTTTTGAATTCAGGCAAAGGTTTGATCGACTAAGTTTATATGTATATCCTTGTGCTACTGAAAAATTCATATTTTTTCTTGGTATTATTATTTTGTTTTTTTTTCAAGATTGGAATGAAATCGCGTTTGTAAGAACACTGGAAGAAGATTTCATAACCGAGAAATCCAGTGTGTTTTACGATTTTCGTAAAAATTATTTTTGCTTTAATCTTTCACTAAAACCGTAAAAATTTCAACCTTTGAAAGAAATTAACTTTGCAGTAACTATTTATATATAATACTGTCCGATATCCATCAAAGCAATATATATTTCTATCTATAAATCTGTCAGTTTTATTTTGTTACAGGGAACGGAGAGTATCAGTGACTATGCGATTTCCTTTCACTATGTACCGCCACAGAAGATGTATGCCTTGGAATTTTACATCTATCATTTACGTCCTTATGGATTAGAATCAGGACACCAGGATTTGAACGTACCCAGGCGATAGTCGCTGAACATTTTTATAAATCATCTACATTTTACTATAAGGCATTCCAGCGACTTTGATTTGTACAACGCCGTAGATGCAAAGTATAGAGGCCCAAAAGGGTCACATGTCACACCAAATCATAAGATAAACTAATATACTAATTTGGTATGACGACCCAACAGAGCGCTTAGTACTTAATACAATGAAAATTTGCCGTTCTCAGTTAACTATCATTATTTATTTTATTCTTGGAAATGAATCCTGTTTTCTTTCCGCATTGAAAAGCATTATTTTATTAACAAGATTATTTTGCCAACAATTTATCCAAGTATAACGGACGGGCATATGTGTGATGGACAGACAGGAGAAATGTGTGTTTGTGATTAGACACCAAGTCAGTACTAAATCAAGTGTTCGCTGATTGTTTGACTGTGGATTAAAAAGAGAATTTTCAATATTCTATAATAATATATCTTATTTAATTGTGACTTACATTTTAGAAAAAAAGATGTATTCAAAAAGTGTTCTTAAGTAATGACATGCAGCTGTATTGTGCCTTCTGAGAATGATTAGTCGAGGCTGAAATACATTCCAAGTCCTAGCCTATGGCAAAATGCTTACAAAAATGAGGGAAAATATGGTGAAAGGTGACATTCTGATATTAGATATATTCCTTGTTCTTTAGAAATGATCTCATGCATTCTTACGTCCAAATGTACTCTGATAGTCAATATTAAATTAATGACACAATCAAGAGTCTATTAATGATACAAGGATGGTTCTGGTGTGAGTTAATGAAGCGTGTCCAGCTTTATCCTCTATATACCCAAAGTTATTAAAATACTGATTGTATATTCCACATATATTCTATGTATGCACACCCCAACTTTAGATATGAACTCTGTTGTAAACAGTAATCACTCTCTCTGTCCGTCCGTGACAAACTATTTATTCACAAGATGTCTCGTTTTCATACCAAAATGCCACACACGGCCACTTTTGAAAATTGACTTGTATACATGATATATCTGCAACATCTTCGTCAACTGCTAATCCTCTTCCTAACTACTCCTATACGTAGATAGGGAGGTGGTCATCGGTTAAAACATTACACCAGATGTCATTTGAAATAAGTAGACAATGTACAAGATGTCCCATGAAATCACGTATACTATTCTTGGGTCGGAGAAGATATCAATGTAAACCCTGTAATCATTTTTGTTTGGCTGTGTTAGGCTTTTGTACAACATTTCATCATTGTTTATGTACTGTTTAAAATTCATTCCAAATGATCTTCTGTTCTTATGTTATTTACTTTTATTCTAGATAATTTACTTAGCCAATCCGTGTGTTTGTTTAAAAAGTCTGCACTTGTGTACCTAGAACCAACAGTATACTTGTATAGGTATTTAAAGACAACAGCGACAGTGTCACGGTCTGTGAAATAGAAACTACTAAACATACATGAAGGCCAGGTGTCACGTGGCTTGAGTGCTGTTAACTTTGAAAATATTTTTTGTGAATTCAGTTATAAGTATAATGTATATATATTTCAATATTTCATTGATAACATCTTAAATGTGAGTTTACTCTAGTGCAGTTTAAATTGTGTGTATGTGATGATGTGTGATAGTGTGCGTGTCTTTGAAACTTTAACATTGTATATTCTTTGATGTTTTAGAAGGACTGGCTATTTTCGGATACGATTGTTCTAAATGATAGCGAGAAGGGGTTTATGCAATGCTGCTTATGAAATAATAAAAATATCAATTTAAGAGACTGAATTGTAACATTCTGTGTACATAGCCATATATAACGATCTGTGATTTTACTGTTGTCTTGATGGCGATCGATGGTCAGAGTTCTCCCATGTAAAAAAAACTCCAGTGAAAGGCATGCAGGCAATGTTTACTCCCAAGGTAGTGGCCATTGTAAATATGCTGGAAAGTAAACTTGTTGAGGAAAATGAGTGGAAATATCTGATTTACAACATTTACTTTCTTTTACACATTTGCAAGTTGGATAAAATATGGTTGATCTTTCCATCTACAAATATGAATGATTCATAACTATGGCGCTATTATAATCTATACAAACATTGACTGAATGGCAACCTTTGCGGGGGTCGCTAGAATTAGAAGATTTTATATCGGACAATTGACCTCGCCCAAGACAAAATAAAATATCGGAGAGATAGTGAGAACTAACGTTAAGGAAGCAAGAATTTTATAATCTAAGCACATTCCATGTACATTAAACCAGCTACATACCACTGTGTAAAAAATATATCTAGCAACTGAATTCAAATTCAAAGGTTTCATATATTTGAAGTTAAAGATCGTATCGAACGCTGTGGAATACCGGTATGCCGATACCATTACTAATTGATGGGTAGGTAGTGGAAAGCGTCATCACCAGGGAATCACCAGTTCCTACGTAACTGATTAAATAAAAAAAAATATTTTTTTCTTTTCCCAACATTTGACATTTTCTGCATTAATATATCGGCCATTACATGAAAGACACGTCAATACTTTACACGATGTGCGCATGATGTCTGCATGTCTGCACGATAGGAAAATTGGACGAACTAAGCTATCGTATACTTGTGCGCACATTGTACGATAGAATCACGCAAATAGTGGTTGATATAAATTTAGAAATGACTTATTGATAAGTATGAGATAGGGTTTATTTATTTTCTTAATGAATAAGAAGACAACTAAAATGAATCAGTAGACATTTACACTTCCGGTGACATGGTCTTATTTTCTTCGTACTTTTTAAAAAGTGATTCTGTTAACTAATTGGTATTTCCTTAGTCGTTCTTTGCATTTAAATGTCCATTAAAGAGCTTAAAAATAATAGATAGACAACAATGATCACAACCATCACAATCAGAGCAAAATACCCTATGTCGGGCAGACTACGCGACTCAGACAGGCCTTGTCATGGTAACACAGACAGGCCTTGTCACGGTAACACAAACAGGGTCACAAAATCAAGTATATCATTTTCAATCGTTCAAGTTTGATTAATTGGCATTGTCCAGCACACCAATATAAGCTGAGCACAGCAATATCAAGCGTCCTTTGTAATCCATTGTAATCTTAACATCTGTACAAGTTGTCTACCACCAGCTTTTAAATTATTGATTTTCCTGTGATATAAAAAAGCCCATCTCCAAAAAGTGAAAACAAGAAAAGAAAAAATCGTAATTAAAACTCCGAATTGAGATCAAAATGTGACAAGGGAAAGATATCCATCAAAACGACAGGAGAACAGCCATCATGCAAATCTATCCACGTAACTCATAGATTTATATCGTTTTTCTCTCACCATAGAGTTTGCCCATGTAAAATAGCGATGTAACAATATCCTATCTTACATGGGTTTCCAGGTGCGCAGAGTAATCTGTGTTAAGGGGAGACAACTCTTACATCATCACCTGCTTGTTAACATTGAACTATCAAGCCGTCATTTCGCATCAAGTCACGCGGCCGTGAACTGTTTCTTTGAAGCAAAACGCCTACAAGACTTCTGTCATGTAAACAACCCGGTCTGTTTGGAGGCTTTATGAGCCTGACAATGAGATGATCTGATAGCGAGGTCGAAAAAAAAAACCACCCTACCTGACTGTGAACGACAGAACAACATGTTTTGTGACCCTCGGGTTGAATATTCCTATCCTATATGCAACCATATGAAAAAGTATTGTAATCTTAAGTAGACAAGGCTACTTGTTTGTAACTGTTTTAGACGACAAAGTTAATTAAATGTTTCAGTTTTTTAAGAGATGTGTATTTAGCATCTTACATGGTATCTACTGTTAAGAAATAGCCAGTATCTAAATAAGAACTCTCTCTATACCATCAAGTTGTCTTCACTTCTACAAACGATATTCCATGTGAGGAAATTGTTTTTGAAGTTACAGAAAATCTCATGATGTCCAATCTAGAAATATACAATTTATACCAGTTAGGAAATCAATAGCGGCTGTAGAAGTAAATCTAACAAACACAAAAAACCTATCGGATACTATCAACATTTGCTGCCGAGTCATCGGAGGAAAGGATTACCATTTTTCTACAATACGGTGAAAAATATACAATATCCAAACCTTGATCGATCTGATTTGTGGACAGATGAAGAAGGTCATGAAATGTAGACCTTTGCCTTTGTCTATTCTTCCTACAGGAAATCGTAGTTAGAACAGACCAGGCCTTTGAGGTATGAAGTGAATATGTTTCATCACCTTAGTACATCTGAGTTCAAATTCAGATCAATCAAATTAATCAATCAATTAATTAATTAATCAATCACAACACCTTACGCAGAGGAGCAATTGTATTCAATTTTTTTGGTATATAAACATTAAGAATTATGAAAATAGAAAAAGTGTTTGTCAGGAAACATAGAAAAAAAACCTCATATGACTCATTCGCCTGTCAAAAATCATTTTGGTTTTGGTATGGAAAGGAGAGTAAAATGAACTGTGATTCGTTAATTATTGAGCTTTAGAATAACTGATTTAACTATCTAACCAAATGTTATGAATAACACTCGATCAAATGAAAACGAAAACGATTCACACCGACTTCCTGAGTGGGCTGCAATACCTGTGTTTTAAAGATATAACCCTATTAGCAGCAGACATTTCATTCGCTGATTTATTAATAATTTAACTTCCTCTTTTAATACAATTTCACTTTAAACAATATCAAGCAATTAAGATTCACATCACAATCAACCCTTTTATAATAAGGAAGAGAATAAGACTAATTATTGGAATGGTAGGTACAGTCACTGATATTTATAGCTGATATATAGACTGGAATCAGATCAAATGTCACTTTTATGATAGAAAGGCCAATACAAATGGTCGTAATGTGTATGAAATCTGAAACATATTACAATGTTTAAAGGAAATGGTTTGGCTGTATATGAAATCTAAAATAGATTACAAGGTTTAAAGGGAATTGTCTGGCTGTATATGAAATCTGAAATAGATTACAAGGTTTAAAGGGAATGATCAGGCTGTATATGAAATCTGAAATAGATTACAAGGTTTAAAGGGAATTGTCTGGCTGTATATGAAATCTGAAATAGATTACAAGGTTTAAAGGAAATGGTTTGGCTGTATATGAAATCTGAAATAGATTACAAGGTTTAAAGGAAATGGTTTGGCTGTATATGAAATCTGAAATAGATTACAAGGTTTAAAGGGAATGATCAGGCTGTATATGAAATCTGAAATAGATTACAAGGTTTAAAGGGAATGATCAGGCTGTATATGAAATCTGAAATAGATTACAAGGTTTAAAGGGAATTGTCTGGCTGTATATGAAATCTGAAATAGATTACAAGGTTTAAAGGAAATGATCAGGCTGTATATGAAATCTGGATTGGAATAAATATTTTGTAGAATCAGCCATATTCTTGTTGCTATTTTTCATTTGGTCTTGTTCAGAATATATTTTACCCATTGTATTTATTGAGAATGCATTCGGATAATAATGGCGTTGTAAGTACATAAATACACAGTAGGGTTTTACAAGTTTAAATGCACAATTTAATTATGATTATCGTAGTAAGCATTCATCTCAAAGCGTTGTATATACATGACCTCATAGTAATTGGTAACTATGGTGATACGTGTAGATATTTATATGTCTCCACACTAAATGTCCATTTACAGACCTTGACAGATGTGATGACGAGTTATTAATAGTTACTGTCAACGCCATGTAACCATACACGCTCAGAGAAACAATTAATATATATATATATATATATATATATATATACAGGAACACTCGCTGATATAGTACACTTTATGTATATCACAACGGGGACATTACTTAATAATACAAGTCGGTATACCACTGTATATACACGTGTCCGTTGCCATAACTATGTGTTTTTACATGTTATTGGTATTTAGACCGACCGTTTTCTGACATCGTATGCGATCGCCTAGTCTAAACAACGATTTCAAAAGGATACATTTGTGTATAATGACTCGTAATATGAAATTCTATAACGGTGAGTTTTCATTCAGCATGTATGTGTTCTTGTTTCTATTGCAACAAATTCTGATACATTTGTTTTATTAGATAATTTACACAGATCGTACTCGCTAATACAGATAAAATATAAATGCTAAGAACTTATATTAGATATATTAATCTCTAAGTACCGAGTATTACGTATTTTAAGAGAAAAAGGAATAATCGGCTTTTATTTGATAATGTTAGGTAGTTTTTCACGTTGAGAGTTTAAAACTATATTTGTAGATTTTTTAGTTGATACTGTTGGTTTTTGAAGTAAAGTTTATATAACGTCCATATGTCCATATTTCCAGTTGTTTTCTCGAATTTGAGTGTGAAAGAGAATTCTATTGGCATTGTTTACTTTCTGTGTTGTTTTTGCTGTATGGATAATACTATTCAATAAACTGTATATCAGTATAACAAGTAATGCGGTACTTCATTTCAGGTTGTACATCACAACTCTTTGGCTTGAACTTGGGTTTCGGTGTGGTTACTGGTATGCTGATTGGATTTGTGGTGTTTAGTTTATCTTCTATTTATCACCCAACAATAAACAGTTTCGTCTTCACCATCGGCAGTGTTGAGTTTACACACAATAACAGGTCTTTACACTTTAGAAGTCATACTCCCCAAGTCACAAAGGAAACTGGACGAACACGGAAATTTGGACAAAAAGACAATTATAGGAATGATACAATCCCTACCCGAAGCACTACCAGGAACATGGTATTAGCTGATGATTCTAAATTCCATCACGGTATGTATAATAGTTTTATGTTCTCCTTTCTCGGAGAGGTATTCTAATAGTGTCACCATTCTCGGACTCTTTAAACTTGGACAGGCCGCTTGATAGTCTCTAACTGACAGTTTGATATTACCGTGGAAGGCAAACAAAGTTTATACTGAATGTCAAGCTGAGAACAGTTCAAAACTAACAGAACGAGATATATAGGTGTAAAGCATGCTGGTTATTAATGCAATTTCATTAATATCATAAATGACAAAAACTCAGACAGGGGACGATATCGACCGATGATATAGATATATATTTGTATTTTTTTAAAAGTTTCCTGTTATTTGGTAAGGATATAAAATATAAGAAAATTGATATTTTGACTGGGTTTCGTTTACATGAACACGTTTATATTGTCATTGATCCACTTTAGTGACAACATTCTCGATATTCCAGGGGTTATGATCAATTGAATGTCAGCGTTATAATGTTCACAGAAATGTCATTTTCCAACGTTTAAACATTTGAATCAAATTCTGATTTTTTTTTTATAAAAAGTAGCAACAGGTTTTAACCATGAAACTCTGTTATAATTTTACTTCCAGTGACGTCATCTCTTCTACCATCCCCCCACCCCCCACCCCCCATCCCCCACCCCACCTGTCTCTCTCTCCCTCCCTTCTCTTTAAAAATATATTAGCCAATATTTATGTAAATTTTTGATGGCTTGATATTGTGATGTTTTTATTTTGTAATGTATTGAGGAAAAGGGCAACTTTAAGTTGAAATCACTTGTGCCCGATCCTTTTGTAAATAATTTACAATAAAATTGTATGTTTGGTTCATTCAAAACTCAAATTCAAATTTTTATGATCACTTTCACTCTCTGCACCATTGGCACATTTCATGGCAGAACTGCAGGCTCCATATACAGCACTTTGTGAACAAGACGAAAAGACTAGTTTGATCTTTTGAATTTCGAGATCGCTTCACGGTAATTGCGATGGCTTTAAAGTTTGGTGTCGCTTCTTTTTCATCTTCAAAAGATTTTTTCTCTCTCCTGGAACCAATCAAATTACTGCACTCGTGTCTTCAATTTTGCCATGACATGTTCTAGGTGTGCATAGAAATTGATCATAACCCCTGGAGTATTGAGGAACGTCATTCTTATTTAAAACTGGCAGATGTACAATAAAAACGTTCAAAGTGTTTGCTACTGGGGTGATACATATCATTCGGATTACTTACGAAAAAAATGTTAATGTTTCAGATGATGACAAAGTAGCTAAAGAGCTGCGGCGCAATGTTCGAGTTTTGTGTATGGTTATGACAAACACAAAACATCTTAATACCAAGGCTACTTATGTGAAACAGACTTGGGCAAAGCGATGCAACAAAGTTTTATTTATTAGTTCAGAAACAAACTTAACATTCCCAGCGGTTGGATTCAATATCCCCGAGGGACGGGAACATCTTACTGCAAAAACAATGAAAGCTTTTAAGTATATATTTGAAAATCATTTTACTGATGCCGACTGGTTTATAAAGATTGAAGATAATTCATTTGTAATATTAGAAAATCTGAGATATTTTCTGTCATCGTATTCTCCAAACGATGCCGTGTATTTTGGACATAGCTTTAAGTCCATTGTAAAGCAGGGATTCTACTGTGGAGGAGGAGGGCATGTCCTGAGTAAAGAGGCACTTCGCCGTTTAGCGATAAGCGGTTCGTCTTACCAAAGTTGTCAATATGGAGAAGATGTCGATGTTGAATTAGGAAAATGCATGGAAATCCTGGGTATAGAAACAACAGATACAAACGATGTTCTGGGGCGGAGCAGATTTCACTGCTTTGATCTTGAAAAACAGTTATCCGGCGTATTTCCTAAATGGTATTACAAATATGACGCGAATGGAGCAAAACAGGTATGGTAAATTATTTCTTAAAAGAAGGTAAAACGATACTGTGCAATCGAATTTCTATAGTGCCTTAATTTTTTAAGTTGAGAGAAAAAAATCTTGGGCACCCGTTTTCTTGGATATGTAACTGAAATCTACTCCCGCTACTGTTAATTGTTAATTCATCATTGTCATATACATTTTTGGATTAAGAGTGTCAATGAAATAAATATAATACATCCCTCACAAATAGGTTTCATCATACAGAAGATGACAATTGGACTGTTGATATAACACACGTCTAATAAATGATTTAATACGAGCCTCAAAATGCATACTTTTTTGACTAGAATCATAAATAAAACATTTGCATCTAGTGAACATCAAAAATAAATATGCACAGAACAATCAGTTTACAAAAAGTACTTGAAAGTAAAAGTGAACATATTATTCTAATTAATCCAATATAAAACACATAAATGTATAATTTTGTATGGATATTAGATTTACTAAGGCATAAATATGAAGTGTTAAGGATTAGACAACATTGCATGCCAAAGATATGTAGCACATATTAAGCCGTTATACGTTTAACATACAACGACTAAAGTAAAATTACATCATAATGCATGTCAAGCGTCAGATGTGATGGCATTCACTCCAATCTATTTTGGAAAAAATTAGGAACTGCAACGTAGATTTATTTTCGCCAGCCTTTCATGCATGAATAAGTAAATATGAATCAGATATATCATTTAAGATAATGTACATGACAATAATTTATAACATGGAATATATTCAGTTTGTAAGCATTTACGTCTCATCTAATTTGTTAGATAGCATCAATTTATTTGTAAACTGTATAAACAGGTAGAAATAAACACGATAATCTACATCAATCGATTGGTCAAACAATCGTTCGACTACCGTTACGGTTGCTATTTTAATTACACTTTTATAATATTTCATCTTTATCTATTTCTTTTTTTTTGAGGATGAAATGAAGTTGTGAAATAAGTCGCATCAATAAAGATAAAGATAAAAGAAACAATGCATTCTGTTTAGTAAAATCGTAACAATCTAGACCATCGAGAAATATATTTTACAGGACCATGTTCTGATGAACGTCAATGAGGACTAGAAAACCAACACAATTTACATGCAAACTAAATATCATATGAATGTGTCTGAATGCCATCATGAATTTTCCCCCTCAATATGTTCTTATGATCAAAGGATTAAAATATGTACGTTTATGTTTACAAATGTAAACGTATATCCGTGTTAACCAAATGCATATACATGTCTCTGTACCTAGGATTTTTAGATGTTGTAGTGTATTCTGATTTATATAAAACGATATCCTTAACATGGAAATCTAATGAAGTTAGGTTACCATTTGTTTGTTTTATAATTCAGTGTTATTTATGACCAAAATATTGAAAATTTTAACAATCACAATTAATGAAGTTGACTTCGGAAGAGATATTGTTGATCCTTAGTTGGAATATTGCTAGAACTTTTATTTTTTTCTGTTTGTAATTTGCAGGGTACAGATAGTATCAGTGACTACACTATATCGTTCCAAGTGGCACCGCCATTAAAGGTAAACATGTATAAACTGGAATTTTATATCTACCATCTTCGTCCATATGGTATTGACAAAAGCCATCAGTCACTGAATATCCTGCATAGTCATCTGTAATATCTCAGACACATTTTACCAGGGAGTTGACACAAGGCATTGGTCCTACGCTACAGATGTCTCAGTTTTACAGAAATTCGTTAGACAATGCAGCTGAGACAATGGAGAGCAGTCTTTTAGTGTCGCGAACAGATAGAGTGTGATGTCTCAACGAACCGAGGCAAATAATTCCAGAGTGTTGACATTTGACATCGTCGCTATGTTTCTAACTTTGAGCTGACCAGAAATCAGATCGGCAATGTTTAAACCGGAAAATGGTAAAAAATCATGTCTCACACACTTAATCGTGATCTGAAGACAAATAAGTCATTTATAAGCAACCACTCCAAACATGTGACAGTTAAAAGGGTTATAAATCGAGAAACATTTTGTCTTCGCGAATGGCCTAGACCCATGCTACATAATTTACAATAATCATCATCGTTTGATATTTATCAAATTCATGGAAATCCACGGGAAAGTCAAGTTTAACAGAATACACAGAGCTTAGTTACAAGCAAGAGATGTAATGCACTTGTAACTGACACGAACCAATTGTAACTCTGACCTTCATTCATCATCTGTGACATGGTAGGAACAAAATTTAACAGATGTTCCTCTTTTTATTATACACAAAAGCAAATCGTTCATAACCGCAATGTTAAAATAATTTTGAATAAAATTTCTAAACATGCAGTCACATTTTCTTTGTACACCCATTTACATTCTTTGAATTGTCCTTCAGAATATATTCAAATCATTAATGTAATTTAGCAAGTTAATTTATTGAAAGATCACGAAAATCAATGTATAATAATGTGTTGTGGCTCCCACTTTTCCTACAAAATGAACACTTTTAAGAAAATAGTTCACGCTGAAAGAGCAGAACTGTATTGACATGATATGATATCAAATCTATGTCACAATGTCGTATTTCATACGTCGATGAAATTAAAGATGAATTGTTGACTTATAGGAACAGATTTTGTTTATAAGTACGGATGCACCTCTTCCAAATTGCACGACAAATGCACTACGTTTAGTCCTCAATGTTAAGAATCAGTAACAACTATTGACTCCAAATGACATTATTTGTAGTATTGTATAAGAATAAGGTACACCCTTTATGCATAAATCTGATACTTATTCAAGAGATACAAGATTGTTTTAGGCAACATCAAATAATGACAGGAAATTATTTTCATCATCTCAACACAATCCATACAGTAAAAGCCGAGGACTAATGGACTGAAGTATTTCATATCAGACATTAGAGCTACTCTCTGTTGAAACAATAAGAAAAACCAACATGTCTACATTATCATCATCCAAATTCAAATCCAATAGATCTAGGGCAAAAATGCACAAAAAGAGATTTTACATGGAGACTCCATAAAAAATACAAGGCTAGTAAGACCAGGTGTTCCGGATGAGTAAGCGTCCTTTGCGTCATCGACGACACCCGTCATGTAAGCTTTGGTCAATCCAAGTAATGTCATGTTCACAAATGAGAACAAACCAACAGATAAACTAACAAGCAGGAAACACGTTCAGCTTTATGCCGCAAAACGAAACAAAATATTTCTCGATAAAATCACTTTGACGACCGTAAAACTTCTCCATGACTCTGTGTTACGAGCTCGTACCTCAGTTAATGACTTCTTGTACGCAAATCAGCTTAGGGAAAATATCCATAGTTGGTTTCGTTGTAAGAAAGGACCGAGCTGATGAAGAAAAGTCTGTCTTGTCTTTGATTTCCAATTCTGGCGGGTTTATACAGGACATGGTCAATAAATGTCTTGACAACTCGACGAAGATGTTGTCAATGGAAAACTGATCATTTTTATGATTTCGGCCTTCGAATATTTCAGCTTTGATTTTAAATCTTTTTTAACGATAGTGCTTCAGTTCTTGCAGTTTGAGATCAAATGTTCTTTTAGAAAAAAATATATTTTGAAAATATGGTGTTGAAGATTGGTCAAAAGCTCTTGTTATCATGGAAGCCTAGTCCTTTGTGTTAAGGAAATTTAACAATATTTGCAGACAAGATTATTTTGGTAACATCAAATGATGAAATGAAAATCACTTATTTTTGATTAAGTCATTCAGTTAAAAATTGCGTTCAATATATATATTAAATCCCAGACAAGAACAAACTATTATGCAAATATTTTTATTTGTGACAAGAAAACTTTGAAAAAGTCGATATATGGTCTTAAATCTGTCAGTTACGCTCGATAATTACTACAAAGAATATTATTTATAGCAACAGGTGGGATAAGAATATGATCGCTTATGCTAACCTGACGGTGAACATTTTCCTGATATATATTAAAGGAAGCAAAAGCTTCGACATGTACTTTGTATACAATACATGTTCGATAATGTAATTGGTAAACTAATACCCTATGCTACAGCTGGTCTGGATGAAAGATTCGAACATCTTTTCAGCGATGTCTGTTCTTAGATCTAAGGTAACAGGTGTAAATGATAAGCATCCTAAAAGAGGATCCATAAGGGAGAATATTAACAATTTAACAAATGGATGACAATTTTTTTTTTTTACGTTTAAGGTCGATAAGATATTTAATATTTGAAATGGACATTTCCATGTATGCTGTATCAATGGATTACTTCTCCTACTTGAGAAATAATAAATGAATTGATAGATAAAAACAAGTTTGAAGTGTTTTCACAAACGAGACTTCTTATTATTTAGAAAACAAGGAATTGTTGATTGATTAAAAAAATGGCATGTAATCGCTAATACATAAACGCTATTTGGTTCAATTTCAACTGAATTTTTCAAAATTGCGAGATAAATTTGACAACCATAGTTTACACACAAGAGGGAACATAACATTTGGAATAGAAAATTATTGTATTGTTGTATGTATGCTAGCACATAGTCACTCTAACCTTATGCTTCATCTTATTCCCTCATAAAGAGTTCACGAGTAACAAACATCGGTCGATATCTTATGGATATCAGGATAAGTGTTCTGTAATCAATACACGCATACATCATTTTCTCTTTCCGTTCGTATAGTGTTGATAACGCTGATTTATTGCTAAGAAATGTTTCACAATGGAGGGAAACATGTGACGAATGTATTTATCATTACTTATGGTTGTAAGATAATCTGAATTACCTGAGGATGTATGTGTTTTCTCGAAAAGGTAAGTTTGAGTGTGATAATCAGGATCAGTTGTACAATCATAGATCATAACATAGAGGATTCTATATATTGACAAAATGAACATATAACCACAAATTCTTAAGACATTCATTGGGAAATAGTAGCACTTTTTAAAATGTTTTATTTGCAGAAGAATAGTTTGAATAGTTACGTATTTTAAAAATCAAAATAATGAAGCAAAATTTAGCATTTTATAATCAATTAAATGACAACTCAATTGTCAGTGTGTCATACTAAATTAATTCTTGCGTGAGCTGAAGAAGGTAATAATACAACATTAAGTGCTTTGATATGTATTACCTACCTTTGTAACGACAATGTTAATTCATATCACTGCCTGCCTTTCCTCTGGATACTGTAAAATAGTATTTGTTTTCGAAGGAAATGTCTTTTCGTTGAAGTCATGGTTACATTATATCCGTGTTTTTTGGTGTCATTGAAATAACAAAGAGTTAAAAGTTAACATGGAGTATGGTGCTGGTGGACTTTTGGAGAAAGATGTAATTACGAACTAAAATGCAAACAACACTCTATCATTTTTTAAAAAAAATCCACGAAATTTGAGCACCGCGAAAATTTATAATTTTGCAGTATGCAATTTACGATGACGCAGGTATTTACAAAAACCAATCTTTTCAAAGTTCAAACAATATCTGCATGATAGACAAAACGATTTAAGCATAGTTTAAGTAACATAAGTCTATTTACATTATTGCCAGCATGGTATTGTATGGTCCTAACAATTCTGTACGGTGCCGTGCTGCTCTTTACAAATTTCAAGTACAGTCACTATTCCAAGTACGCTTTAACCAGCCTGACCAGACAGCTCGGCTGTGTATGTCCACCGAAAGTACCACCTGTAAATGACGAAGACAGAATGGACCAACTCACACCCATAGTCTTTCAGGGTGAAGGTGACCCTTTGTTCCATAAAGGTAGTGTATGTTCATCCTTTAACTAGCAATTGATCGTTCTTGAAAACATTACGGATAACAGATTAATTATGAGAAAACTTGAAAGCGTATACATACCAAATGTCAATACACATAGCATGCTATGGTGAATGGTTACACTGTGACGTGGACGATTTCTGAGTAGGACTTTTTTCCGAAGTAGGAGGACTACTATATCATTCATTTTTGCATTTTTGCAATTCTTACGAACAGACTATTTTCCCTACTTGAACCATTCATAGTTTCATTTATTGGTTCTCAATATTTGTTAATTCATGCCAACCGCAACTTGCTAACACCAAGTGACGTTTCAAACTTGGCTGATTAATTTATATCTAATATAATCATTTCGTATCATTTAATTAAGGTCATATATACATCACTAACTTTTTTTCCCTTTTGGTTCGGTATAGACGATGACGACACGGTAGCACGACAACTGAAACAAAGTGTTCGAGTGCTTTGCTACGTCATGACTGACCAAACAAACCTGGACACAAAAACTATACACGTGAAAAACACATGGACCAAACGATGTAACAAAGTGTTATTCATAAGTTCTGTGACAAACAGTACGTTTCCGACCGTTGGTGTCGACGTGGGTGAAGGACGTCATCACCTCACCGGGAAGACGATGAAGGCATTCCAGTATATTTATCAACATCACCTAGACGACGCAGATTGGTTCCTAAAAGCAGATGACGATACCTACGTCATTTTGGAAAACTTGCGTCATTTGTTGGAACCATATTCTCCAAAAGAAGCGGTTTATTTTGGACATCATTTCACGCCTTATGTAAAACAAGGTTACCATAGTGGGGGAGCCGGATATGTCCTGAGTAAAGAGGCGTTGCGTAGACTGGTCATAAACGGGATTCCGTCCGGAAAATGTACGATAGATGGATACGGGGAAGACAGACATATGGTGAGGAGACCAGTTATCAGTTAACAGGTTTCCTTTAACGCATTTCATGCAAATTTGTCAAACACTGCGTACAGGAACATTTTTTTACAATGAAAACTAAGATTCAACAGTGAACATATCATTTTCATTTTACATTTTCACTCGTTCTTACAAATCAAATAACTACGTTTGCAGCTAAAATATTTTACACAATGCATCTTGGACTTTAAACGAGATATCTGGTAAGGATTCAATGTAAAACGAAATACAATCGAACCTCATTATCTCGAACTCGACAGACGTTGGGAAACGTTAACCAAACGATGTACCAAAGTGTGTATGCAAAAGATAATACATAGAATATTCATAGTTTCTTTATGAATCAGTTTTTCATCTCATTGGGTAGAAACGAGGTTTACAATGCAATCAGTAGAAGATTACAGTGTGACAAGGTTTACGATACAATCAGTACAAGATTACAGTGTGACAAGGTTTACGATACAATCAGTACAAGATTACAGTGTGACGAGGTTTACGATACAATCAGTACAAGATTACAGTGTGACGAGGTTTACGATTACAGTGTGACGAGGTTTACGATACAATCAGTACAAGATTACAGTGTGACGAGGTTTACGATACAATCAGTACAAGATTACAGTGTGACGAGGTTTACGATACAATCAGTACAAGATTACAGTGTGACGAGGTTTACGATACAATCAGTACAAGATTACAGTGTGACGAGGTTTACGATACAATCAGTACAAGATTACAGTGTGACGAGGTTTACTATATAATCAGTACAAGATTACAGTGTGACGAGGTTTACGATACAATCAGTACAAGATTACAGTGTGACGAGGTTTACGATACGATACAATCAGTACAAGATTACAGTGTGACGAGGTTTACGATACAATCAGTACAAGATTACAGTGTGACGAGGTTTACGATACAATCAGTACAAGATTACAGTGTGACGAGGTTTACGATACAATCAGTACAAGATTACAGTGTGACAAGGTTTACGATACAATAAGTACAAGATTACAGTGTGACGAGGTTTACGATACAATCAGTACAAGATTACAGTGTGACGAGGTTTACAAAACACACTATTTTCAACCATAATATACATGAGATTATAATACAGACGAAAACGTTGGTCGATTCCTTAACATCTCCTTAACTACGAATTTCAGTCTAGTATGGTCAGTTTGTCTGAGGAAAGTGACCGTGTAATCATCGAAACGTCATGATCTTCTACTGGATGTGTTATAAGAACTTCTATTCTACAAAGTAAATGTTTCATTATCAAACGAGAACAAGATTAAAAGTATGAAACAGCCATAGAAAACATTTTACTTGATATCACATAAGGAAATAAATGAGTTACCTCCTTCATGTAAGACAGATCTTTAAAAGGTTTTACCTTAATCATATGCTTTTCTCAGCACTAAAGGCTGATTTTTTAAATCTATGATTTCATACCAGGGCGGCTGCATGGAATACGTTGGTGTGAGAATAGGCAACAGCACCGACTCATTGGGAAGGAGCAGGTTTCACTGTTTTGCGCCGTGGAAACACGTAATGGGGGGTTATCCTGAATGGTACATACGCTACGACGCAAACGGAGCAAAATATGTGAGTAAAATATGTCAACCGTATATATATATCAAAGTTTTCATATGTAGACGTTTATCTGCTTGTATACTGAGAAATCCTTAAATTGTTTCGTAGATAAAAATACTTTGTTGGTGGAAACTTCATTTCACGGATAAATAGTATTCACGAAATCCGCCAATGTTAGATATGATGTAAAGTTTTGGGAACATTTCAGTCGAAGAGTGGGTGTTTATTTCATATTTTGATATTTCGTTTTGGTATGTTTGGTGTTTTGCTTGTTTTTGTTTTCTAATTATCTTGTTCAGCATTTAACAATAAAGTTAACTTTTATTACCCGAACGCGGTTTGTGGTACTTGTAAAAGGCCGATTTGTTCCAGGAACTGATGAAAACAAAAGTATCGTTTTTAAACATTAAAAGCGAGATCTTTGCATGCTTTATGATGGCTAATGACGAACTGGAATATTTAACACATGTACTGTAACGTTTTAAATGCAGTTGATAAATTGAAATAGTAGTTAAAAATCTTCACAGACTCGTTTTCATTTGTTCTATAGATTCATTCCGGCTTGGAAAAAATGTACAACTTCATTGAAAAGTTGATTAATTAGTGAGTTTTAGAGTTACCATTCCCACGTCACGAGAAGATATACCATATTTTAATTGACACACAATATTCATATTTTTTTTTGTTATTCTGAAAATATTGGAATGAGAATTAAAGACATCTATTGCAATTTGTGTTAGTGTATCTTCCTATCTGGGTTTTGAAATCTCTTTCGACCAATTTCCTCAGTCGCGTCACGATTTAAGCCCTTAACATCACTTAAAAGTCCTTGAAGGTCTAACACGCTGTATGATGTTGTTTGATTCAATTTTGGCTCAACTGTATTGAATTCTAAATTAGTATTTAGAGGAGCTATTCACTTACACTCTTACACTCATTCTGGAATGGGTGAATCCTAAAGAAATGTTTTATAGTGCTCTCGTAGTCAATAAGAATTGTAGCAGGCAATAGATAGCCCAATAGGCTTAAAATCTAGTGTTAACCAATGTGCTTTTCTTTGGGTCAATCAAGTTTCATACTGGTGTCCTATTACGTTCATTTGAACATGTGATAATTAAATGATTTCGATGAAGAAACAGTACTATGTTTACACTTTGTATGCGATATGTTACCAGAACATTTTTATCATTTCAGGGCCAAGATAGCGTTAGTGATTTCGCTATTTCCTTCCATTATGTGCCGCCTGGGTTTATGTACGTTTTGGAATATCTTGTATACCAACTCCGGCCCTACGGCATCACAATGGCGGACACAGAGTGAAAAAAGACACGATTTTATTTTGAAGAAATTGAACAGATATCGTTGTGCCAAGACCTCTTTTTTTTATTGATATCGTCAAAAGAGATAGAGTGCCAAGGGAATCAGACACTTTACGTGATGTTGAAGTTTTATTTTGCGTTTCCTTTCTTTTTTTTTAATTATCTGTAATTCTGCCATTTCTGTGTATTAATAAACAGGTACCTCTATAGCAATTGTATGGATGTGTTTGTGATAACTTAGATAAAACAAAAAATACTTTTCAAACACCTGTCATATATTGTGGGTAATGTTTCTTGATCCGACTCTGGATATGTAAGCGTGATTAGTAAAATGTTATTTATAAAGTAAAGATGACAAAGAATATTCTGGAACGAAACAAAACCTGTATTTTAATGATTTTACTCCATGTCTATGTTTATCACATAGTCTACCTGTTATCCAATGAATCTGTTAGTGTGAAATTTTTGGGTATATGTCACTGGCCCTCCAAAGCTCACCACTAAAAACACTAAAAAAATAAAACCAAAACAAAAAAAACAATATTTTGTAACAGAAACTACATGAAAAAGAAAACGTTTTACAACACTTACTGTCTTGTTGTTGCAAATATTGTACAAAAGACACAAAATTGAAAATCTCCTTTAAAAACCAATTTAAAGTTAGATATAGCAGAGCCAAGCAATGAATTACATGGTGACATCGAACTGTATGTTTTTCTCACATTTAACTTTTGTAATTTTCATACATATCTGATGACCCTAGAACAACGTCAAGTACATGTGTACTGTATGTCCGGAACCGTATTCGAATGAATTAAACCTGACAGCACACTTTGTGTACTAAACGGGCATCCAACTGTTTCGTCCCTCTAGGACTCGTCAATGATACCAGGAGACACAATTTTGAAAGCTAGGAGGCAACCGAGAAAAACTTGGTTCATCTTGAATGCTCTTGTTTTCTCCTGCTGTAGGATTGTACAAAAGACAAACAAGTAAACGCACCTTTAATACAATTAAAGAAACTGTAGAGCCCAACAATCCAGCAAAACGCATCATACAGCTGTTTACTTCTTCTACAGCTCATCAGTGATTCTAAGGAGCACATGGATGGTGAAGAGCAAGTGCGCCACAACTTAATCTCCTGAAATTAAAGAATAATGCATATCAAAGAGAGCACATTTATTGTAGAATATAGAATATATATAGGATAATTTTGGACCTTTGTACTCTTGTTATGAGAGTTTTTTTTCAAGAAAATGTGAACGACGGAACAACAATATGACTGTCGACTATACGGAAGCGTTGTATGTGAAAGATGCGATGTGAAAGAAACTTTACATGACTAGTGTCGTCGATGAAGCCGCTTACCCTACCGGAACACCTAGCCGTATTCTTGTATTTCAGGAGATTCCTTGAAATTTATAAACACATACACACTTCACCTGCTTTATATTCAAAGAAAACAATGGCAGTAACTTTATACCAATATAAAACAAAAAACAAGTCATATAGAATATCATTTGTATTCTTACATAGCGATGATAATTTTCGAATATATCCTAGAATAATTTCTTGTAATTTAGCAGCTTATCCTCTAGATCTGGAACAAATTTTGATTCTGATTATCTACGTATTTATTTATCTATCTATTTAAAATGTGCCTGTAGAGTTAGCTCTCCGGATCAAAATGATAATAGCTGATCATCACGAACAGGCGTTTGCATATTCACATTTTATTGTATACATGTAATAACTTAAACAGTTGACTTCATTTTAGTATATGATAACACATGATACAATCATCAAAATCAAAATAATCAATCGGATCTGAACAAAGAAATATTCGCTGTTTTATCCATTTTCATCGCTTCACTTGTATTTATTCAATATCATATGCTACAGCTGGTAAAAGTAAATAGGTGGGTCTTTTCTTAGTTATTGTTCAAGGTGACAGGTTGCACCGACATCAATTCAGGTGTATGCAGAGATATTTGTAAAAACACGAGGATCATAATGGGAGTATTCATAATGGTATTCTTTCCTATTAAAGCCAATCGTTTATTGCGTATAACTGTTACATCATTAGGAAATTTTGTTTTCCTCATATACATTTTCCAAATGTATGTTCCGGAATAAATGCACTCTATTTTCACGTCGTATAACAATATTTACTTCAAACACACGTCATGCGTTTGTAATGCATTTTCAGTCTTATTTCTAGACCCCCTCATATATATTCTAAAAAGCCTATTATTCACGGGTTTATTAAGTACTCAAGCGTAAATTCTATTTTGTAAAATTTAAGATTAACTTTTCGTTTGATGGGCAATCAATACATGACAGATTTTTTCACCTTCCGTTTCAAGCATGTAGATGACGTGGATTTGTTGTTAAACGATATTTCAGAAAATAGTAATAGGAATGATATATATAATTCATGCTGGTGATTTGCCAGTTAACTGAGATATCCTAGAATGTTTTCAAGCTGCAGAAACGGTAAGTGTTAGGATTTTTTTCCTACAGTTACCATTTCTTATAAGTAATATTTTGACTTACTGATAACTAAAATAGGTATGTTATTTATTTATTGAAACTTAAATTAAAGTTATCCCATGTTTCTAATGTAATTTTAATAAATCTATATGGTCTTTCTCAACTTAAGGTTTTTTTGCATCAACTAAACTATACTCCAAGCCAGACCTATGATTAATTTGAGAAAATTCGTACTCTTAGTAAATAATGGTGTCCCTTAATTCTAGGACATTCACTAGATTAACGTAAGAAAGATATATCATTGTGTTTCGCAAGATTTTATAACTAGTTGCAGAAAAAAAATCCGAACCAGCCATTCTTTAATCGTAACTTTGCGTACTGTTCTACTAATATTACAGGATGGATATATCTAGATTAATAAATAAATAAATAAATAAAGTCCTCTTCTGTCATAACCATGTTATCAGCGCAGAAAGTACGTAAGATGTCTCTACGCTACAGTATATATAGACATATATAGCAAGAGCACTTTCTAGTCGTCGACTGGGAAATCGACTAAAATCCCTCAGTCATTATGATCTGTACCCCAGTGCAAACAGGAGTACTGGTGATCTTTTTTTTATCATCCTTCATATATTTTCGCCGCTAATGTTATCTAAATTTACCTATATCTAGCTATATCTATATCCACATCTATATCATAATTTCCATTCAATTTTAAGTTGTGTTTCACGATTTCGATTGTATAAATGTCGGTGTATTGCTTTGATATCAGTATGGTTTTGTGTGGTCCTGACAATTGTATATGGTGTGGTGCTTCTCTTCACGAATCTAAAGTTCATCCGCGACTCTACGTCCGTCCTAACTAGTGTGTACACCAGACAACTTGGCTGTGTATGTCCTAATACATCGACAAGGAGCACAAGACACGAAAAAGGTCTCCATACAGAGTTATCTGTCGGCTGGCAGGGCAACGATGTTTTATTCCATCAAGGTGGGTAACAATTTAGTACGGGGAAATCATCAATTTTCACGGATGATTTATTTAAGTTTCAATCTAAATCCACGGATTTATATGTCCACAAAACAATTAACAAATAAAAGTTGAAATGGATTATAGCTCTAGTGGATTTTGTGAGCAAAATTTATCCCCGAAATCAAGTGCCAATGAAAATGTGTGATGTTGGAAAACCACGAAATTGGGGACCCACGAAATTACATAATTTACAGTATACTATCCATTTTTGAATTAGATTAATAACATTTTACTGTATTTCAAAAAGACAAAATTGTCATAATTAAACAATAAACAATTTCTGAATGATAAATTTGTGCTAGACTACAAGTCCATTGGAATTTTGAAAAAAGAAATAAACAAACAAATAAGCAGAGAGTTTTGTTCTGGGCGACAACAAATTCGATAGTGTCCGAAAACAAAGAAATAGATACACTTTAACATAAACACAAATGACAATTGATCAGATTTTAATACTTAACATCAAATCAGTCTCACCCTTCACTAGACTAATTATAAGCTTAACTTTGGACAGATGTTTAATGTAGCTTCAACAGAGAAAAACAGGGATAAAGAAAAGAAGAATATCCGGAACACAGATTCCTTAAAGCAAATTCCTGTAAAATCATTCATTTTCGTGGGGATGTTTTTTCAGTTGATTTTCTTAATCCACAAAATATGTCCACGATTTGATAAAGTTGACATGGATTATAGTACCAGTGATTGTGTGAACAAGAATTATACAATTAATTGTCAATGGAAATGTTTATGTCTTAGAAAACTACTGAATTTGATTCTTATGAAAATATGAAATTTTACAGGAAGTTCGAGTGCAATAGACTAGTGTAGGTATTTTTAATGTCATCTGTGTAAATTATGGTTCACAAGCATTTTAGGTATTATCTCTAACGATGTCTTCTCACGACCAAAAATGGCAAAACAACCCAGATTCTGTGACGGGTGCGTACATATTATAGAAGACATGAATGGAACAATATCAAATGAGCCAGAACGTCTACATATTGTTATTGAAAGCATGAACAATAAAAAGATCATGTGAGAAAATGCATAGAGACAAAATATTTAGTTATGATCGTTAGAAAGGTAGAAAGCCAAATCCAAAACTTAAGTACTGTTCAAGTGAGATGGGATACTTGTTTTATCGATTTTCACGAAGATCACCAAAACCCTGAAATACATTGTACGTAATTGTCTGTGTGATGGTGCATGTTACTGAAATTTGACGCTAAATTGTATTCCAAGGTGAGTTGATGATGTGTCTTTCAATAACTGTTGGCGCGGTGATATATGTGCTCTACGTTCAACAGTTGGGTTATTTACTTTCTTATTGCAAAGCTAAATAACGACAGTATCGGACGTTTATTAAAGAAAAATAGGAAATCCTTATAATAGGAAAAGTGTGCGACCATAACTACTTCCTAACCCATGACAACATTTCAGCGGATAAATCTAAATATTGCGACACCCATGTAGTTGTTATTTAAAAATCAAAATGGCTTAGACATATAAAAATAATGATTTATTTCTGACGGATCACTTTTATGAAGTTTCTTAATTAAGTCCACAGTCACTTATATACCGTTTTAGGTTGTGTTACAATAAACATTAACTGTATTAGCTTCCTGGTTTACTATAACAGTCTTATGGCCACGACCAGTATTTCTATTATATAATCTCCTAGTTTCACTTCAGCTTTGAGATCAGCTCAGGCAATTGTTAACTTCGTATTCTTCTGCTTGTGTGATTGGCGACATTCTATGACATCTGATTTTATTCCTTGTAGATGACGATGACACTGTAGCACAAGGACTGGAACAAATAGTTAGAGTGCTCTGCTACGTCATGACTGATCAGGCTAACCTGGACACGAAAACTATACACGTGAAAAACACGTGGACAAAGCGATGTAACAAAATATTGTTTATAAGTTCTGTTGCCAACAAAACGTTTCCAACCGTCGGCGTTAACGTTAGTGAAGGAAGAGGACATCTTACCGAGAAAGCGATGAAAGCCCTTCAGTATATACACAAATATCACTTAGACGACTCGGACTGGTTCCTGAAGACTGATGATGACACCTACGTCATAATGGAAAACTTACGTCATTTGTTGGAACCTTATTCTCCCAATGAGCCTGTTTACTTCGGACAGCATTTCAAATCACACGTAAAGCAAGGGTACCATAGTGGGGGAGCCGGCTATGTGATGAGTAAAGAGGCATTGCGCAGACTCGTCGTAAAAGGGATTCCGTCTGGAAAGTGTTGGATTACAGGATATGATGAGGATGTGCATGTGGTAAGAAGTATATACAAATAATTAGGATTTATTACATTTTCCCCGTGATATATAGAGAAATATCTCATTGATAAAAGTGCAGATTTACGCCAATGAAAAGAGAGAACACAAATCATCTGATAAAATTAACAAATCATAAAGCCTGGTACAAAAACACAAAACCACAAACCTGAAGGGGTTGTTTACTTTTGACACGACCTTCAGTTACATAGTAAACTTTCATTTCCACGATAGTCAGAGAACAATACAACGCTAATTACCTTATCCGAGATCAAATCCAATCCCCAGCCGAACGTCTTGATTGTGGAGCTAACACGTTAGACATTTCAAGGGGATTCGTGTTATCAACAGCGACCTGACATGAATGAATAACAATGTGAATATGATAGAAAATTTTACATTCAATAATATTTTTTATGTTTATATATTGTTAATGCTTTAAAAAACAGACAGTATTTTGTTGCGTACTGCGAAATTACAATAAGTGAGTAGTGTCTACGAAAAGCCTAGTCAGCTTCCTCAGTTTCTATTTGTTCAAACTATGCCAGTTATTTTGGCTATTTTGCTTGTGAGAATGTAATACATAGAATATCTAATAGTGTCTTCAGTAATAACAAATATATTTCACAAGAGTGTCACAATATTTCAGCATCTTTCACGAGTGAGCAGCTTGAGTGAAATATACAAAAATATTAGACACAAGAGTGTCACAATATTACACACACTTGTGAAATATATTTGTATTTACTGAAGACAGTATTAGATATCTTCCAGCTATCATACATTTATCTATTTATTTACCTATTTGTTTATTCTTTCTATCATTTATTTACTTTACTTAATTTGAGTGGTTTTAATTATCGTTATTCTCAAGGATTCAATTAAGTCGCGAAGAACGTTACTTTGAAAATAAAACGAAATGGAAAAGTCTTTTCAGGATATCTGTGATTTTTCATCATAAATTAAAAAAAAAAACCTTGAAACTTTTAATTTTCGAAATAAACAACCCTTAAAAACTTTTGTAAATTTCTAAACACATACGAAATAAGCAAAATATTTATACCTCTACATAACTTGTAGAATGTCTACGATTTAAATGAGGATGATCATTTTGAAGAGTGATTTTAGAGAGATTGTGGTGGTGTAGTAAAACCTTTCACTGAGACGACCGGGGTTCGATTCCCCAATCAAAAGGTATGGGGTCACCTGCCCGACTACGTGGGTTTCACCCTATACTGGCCAACAAGATTTATTAATATTAATCCATAAAATAATCACACACGTGTGTATTAGGTGTCCTTTTGCATCCAGTTCTCGAATTTTTAATTTCTTAAAACATAATTGGATGGTTTTATAAGAAGATCGAGAAAAGTTTAACCCTTGAAAATTACCAGCGATACAGTATTTTTCTAATCGTTTCATCAATATATCATCTTACATTATCAGTGCACAATGAAAAATATGTATTTATTTCAGGGAAGGTGTTTGGAATATGTAGGCGTAAGGATAGAAAACAGTACCGACTCCTTAGGAAGGAGCAGATTTCACTGCTTTGAGCCGTGGGTACATCTGCTGGGAAATTATCCTGAGTGGTATCGAAAATACGATGCAAACGGGGCAAAGCATGTAAGTTACATTCGTAATCGCAAACTTATGTTTCAATACATTTAAAACTAGAATTTTAAGAAAATATAGTGGTGATTGAATTAAGCATATTTTTATAAACACATCTTTCAGAACGCTGAGAGAATTTTGATAATTACTGACAATTCATCGAGAAGTAATTTTTTTGTGCGCATTTACTATAAAATCATTGATTTTCATGAGGTTTTTATTTTCATTGATTTTGTGACTATTGTTTGTCCACGAATTTAAATACCCACAAAATGATAAACAGTTAAAAAATGGACATGGATTTTAGTACTAGTGGGTTCGGTCAGATTTATCTAAAAATTATATTATCAACGAAAAGACAATTTTTTTCTAAAACAACGATTTTTTATCCCAAAGAAGATATATGTTTTTAAAGTAGTTATAATATATAACATATCTGTATTACGATACTATTGTTGCCAAGCTGACTATTGATTAATTGATCAATGTATCGATTGATGGATTGATTTATTGATTATGAAACATTGTCAAAACTGAATTATATCAAATACATATATTATGGCATCATAACTTTTTGAGGATTTAAATCGGTAAAATAAGACAACACACTGTCAACATTATGAAGCTGAAATCTGTAATGTTTTCGAATATTTCTAATGTTATACATTTTTGAGATCAAATCAGCTTACGTCAATTTTCCCTTCATTCTAAAATACATACATTTACCGTCAAGTCAACCCTGGATACAATGTTGAATTTGAACCAGCGTTCAGCATTAATGCTTCTTCAGACAAACCATATAAACTTCATTCTATGTCTCCGGAATCACACCATTCTCTAAATTTGATGGTGATTTAACAATATCCAGTGAAGCCAGGAATTTTTCCTCTATTTTTTATATTTGTGTAAAACATTCGACAGATCCTATTATTTGATTTAGACTTTCATGACAGTTTTCTGAAGATCATTTATTAAAAACTGTACTTTTGAATGTCATATTGCCATATACGTCATTGCGATTGTAAGGTTTCTAGACAGCATATCCACCTCATACAGCTGTGCTCCCCTCCGATAACGTCATACTCTCACAGATAAATATCAAATTGCTTGCAGACACAGACAAAATAATTTTCAAGTCGACGGTGGTAAGTGTGCTTTTGTATTGAGAAAATTAGGTACATGTAGGTCGATTTGTTATCAGCTGAACAGTATTAAAGCGTGCGCAGGTATGTTGATGCAAAATATACATTGTAACAAATTCCTAATTCGGTGACGTCACGGTATTTTACGACACGACAATATTGATGAACGGGTTGACGAAAGCCACATGATCATATCTCGAATATTATTTTCATTATTACGGTGTGAAATACAGTTAACATTGTACAATACCTTTGTATAATTGAACGTGTGTGGTATGTGTTAAATTTTCAACATCACTAACACGTTAAATAGTTTCATTTCCTAAACAAGAGACCAGTAACTCGTCTTTGTTCATGCAGTCTGTTTATGGCAATGGGTCTCCCGAGAGTAATTTGATGTATCTTTACTGCAGTTTTGTTGTCGTATAGTTCAATTCATAGCATATTTTTAGTATCCAATACAGTATTTCATGCCTTTGTAAACAAATTTCCTAAGATTTCTTTGACTGAATACATCGTCTGACTTGATACTAAGGTCTTTGTCACAGACGCGTGTACGAGGAACACAAGAGATCCATTCATATTGCGTGACATTAACACCGAATTTTCGAAGTTTTTGTGTCATTAGCCGACAGAATACATCCATCAATCAGATTTCTAGTGCCCATCTGAACAGTTTCAACAATATGTCATCAAAATATCACATTTTTCATGTAAATATTGTAGTTACATGCCCCATCGCTTGGTTTAATCGTCCTTTAAAAATCAAATAACGAAGCGTATTCAGAGGGGTTGCATTTTCCGAAATTCGATGTCGATTTAATGTGACCCCAGTCCTGTCACGTGACTTAACGCTAAATTTGTATGAGCTCAAAACGTCACTACGATTACGGGGGCGATACATATCAACTATCTCAGTGCCTACGATGTCAGTGCCGGGAATGACATAATGAAATTAAGGAATTAAATAAAAAGTGGTTTATTTTCAACTGTAGATCCGTGCTACAAAGACGATTGAGTCTAAGAGTTATCGCCCTTACGATGCGAGATTGGAGGTTGATGAAGACATCATAATTCTGTATCCGTACTTAAAATAAATGTAATGTTTTTTAACATTTCAGGGTGGAGACAGCGTCAGTGATTATGCTATCTCCTTCCACTACGTACCATCCTGGTTAATGTACGGTTTGGAATATCTTGTATACCATCTCAGGCCTTACGGTGTCAAAATGGCGGACAATGAATGAAGTGCACAGAAACAGAGTTTCATTTGAAATATTACTTTTTCCGATCACCTGATGAACAAAGGGCGTTACCCTGCGAGCGAGAGAAGACTTTGTTGGTATCTCCTCTCACAACGTGCAAGGCATTCACTTTTGATATAGTTTAAAATATCTAAAAATGGATTGTTGAGACATAATACTTTTTGAGAATTCAGTGTTTCAGTTTGTTGACATGTTCAGGGCATTTTTGGACCTCTAGCTAGAAAACACTTGAAATGAACATCAAAACGAACATCAAAACGAACACAAAAAGAAATAACACCGAACGTCAACAAAGTCATTTCATAAATAGAGTAACTCTGAGAAAATGAAGAAAAAGGAAGAGATATGTTAGTTTACGTACACGAACATGTCATTAAAATACACATACAGCTGTGCTCAGAATGTCAGCTCGAATTGGGAATGAACTCTGAATAAACTACTGGGCAATAACATAATTCCAGACTTAGAGGGACGCGTTTACCAGTTGGTGAAGATATCTAACAGATTTTATCATCATCTATCTCTGGGTAGCAGGTTCGAGACTCGAAACAGTGTTTACCACCTGTCTGTGGCTTTTCTGAAAGAACTCTTCGCAATCCACTTTTGGCACGTTATGGGATGATCCTGGCTGTTAACAGGACGAAAAATAACAGCATAAAAAAACAAAACAAAAAAACAATCTCGACAAGACCACTTTTCATTGTTGAGTACATGGCGAGCACTGTGTACAGATTGTCACACATACACATTAGAAATCTGTGGTTATCGTACTTGATTTAAAGGAAAATGTCCACTGCAGCACAACTACGATCGAGGCAACAATAAATGATATGAGTAGAGCCTACAAAGACCAAGATGATATGAGATATTTCAATGTTAATTAACTTTATAATTACATGTCGATATAATGCATTTACATCACGTCAAGATCAAATCACTTGTTTCAGATCCTCAGAAGACCAATCTTTAATACCCTGATGCTTTCTGCTTATTTAACAATGCGCATGCTCATATCTGAAAAATACATTGGCGTCTTTATAGCGGATAGAAATTATTTCAGGTTGTATAATACCATCATAACGCATCTGATCATTGTCTATCTAAAGAATGAAAAAAGAAAAAAAAAACATTATGTAGAGTTATCCCCCTTGCTCTCAATTATTTGACATGTTTACATTACTTGTAGAATACATCGATTTTTGTAAATGCTCGACCTATGAGCACTCTATCCCTTACTTGCAATGAACATATTTAAGAGTACATTTGACACGGGTCGATATGACACTAGAATAAGATATTGAATAATTTCTTCTGGCGAATCGCCATTTCAAACTTCAGTTGCAACATATCGAGACGAGAGAATATCTTTCAATATTGAAGAAGACACATCAATCTAATTTCTATTCTTACCACAATATAGTAAATAAGCAATTTTCAAATGTAAACTGCAGATAGTTTTCTGAATGTGTGAATATTCGAAATAAAGACAATTATATAGTAATTTAAAAAGCTGTCCGTCGTTTTTGTAATTGGAAATATTAACTTAAAAACGTCCGTTATTTCATGAAATAGATATCTGCCGCCGAAAATGACGATGGCAAAGAGAAACTACATGTTCAATGAATGTACTTTATACAGGATTGAGATTAACGTATATACAAGTTAAACCTATAATAAATTTAAATATCATATAATGAAAAACGAATCGTACACAAGACACACATTAAATTACACCTTTGGTTACAGATTTCGAAAAATAAAAAAAAAAAAAAAAAAAAACACAAGAAAACAAAAAAGTACAGCCAAAGAATGAATGACACTCCATACAGTTGTCTCGTCCTTCCAGGAGTCGTCAGTGATTCCACATTTTGAAACCAAGGAAGCGACTGAAGACAGTACAAAAGATCTCGATCTAATCAATGATACTGTTAATTACATCATTTATATATGATAAATATATGATATGAAACCACATCCTCTTGTGACATGTTTTTACCATATAAAACATATGTTCCGACGATTTATTGACCTGCTCAGTAACCAGGTATGTTTTGTTAATGATATAAAATACAGCGTAGTGATATTTGAAATATTTGAATTCATTACAAAACATGTCAAGTAATTAATGGATTTATTATGTTCAAAGCAATAAATTGATACAAATCCATTTAAAATCCCAGCATTACAAAAATCTTGAACTACCTATCGCGTGAAATGCCCTTATAGTCACCGTATCATCCAATCAAAACAGTCACTACAGTTTACATGGTAAATACTTCGGTTAATGTAACAGCTGTCACCTGTTACTGTAGAAATATTGGAATTTTCAGTTTCTTTTACCTCGATTTCTGAGGATGAAACAATCACGATAACAAGATACCTTTAAAATGTAATTAACACTGACATAGTGAAAGTTGTCCATGAAGCAGAGGATGCTCACCCTTCCACAGTGTCTGGTCTCCTTCTCCGTGTGCTTTGTTCAAGAGTCTAAGGAGGGTAAATCTTTACATTGTTCATATGTTGTTTCCAGTTTCATGAAATTTGAGTTTGAATTTGACGATATTGACATCTTGGTATTTACTGTTGTCTGAATAAGATAAGTATGTTACGTTTCGTGACCTGAAATATTCTGTTTTTAAACGTCGTTCCGGGTCACCGATTAAATTTATCTGGTTTTAGTCGAAAGTTTCTGTGGTCACAGTTCATATTTATCCAGTTTGAATCAACATTTACCTGGTTTACAGTAAAAATCCATCAGGTCTACATGAACTTTTTCCTGGTTCATGTAAGCATTTTTCTGGTCACAGTTAGAATTTATCTGGTTAAAGTTTAGATTAATCTTGTTTGAATTAACATTCGTCTGGTCACAGTTACCATTTGTCTGGTCAAAGTTAACATTGACCTGGTCACAGTTATTATGGATCTGGTCACAGTTAACATTTTTCTGGTCTATGTTAGCATTTGCCTGGTCACAGTTAACATTTTTCTGGTCTATGTTAGCATTTGCCTGGTCACAGTTAACATTTTTCTGGTCTATGTTAGCATTTGCCTGGTCACAGTTAACATTTTTCTGGTCACAGTATGGATCTGGTCACAGTTAACATTTTTTGTGGTCACAGTTAGTATGGATCTGGTCACAATTAACATTTGTTTTGGTTTGAGGTAAAATTTATCTGGTTTAAGTTAGCATTTGCCTGGTCACAGTTAACATTTTTCTGGTCACAGTATGGATCTGGTCACAGTTAACATTTTTTGTGGTCACAGTTAGTATGGATCTGGTCACAATTAACATTTGTTTTGGTTTGAAGTAAAATTTATTTGGTTTAAGTTAGCATTTGCCTGGTCACAGTTAACATTATCTTGTTTAACATTTTCCTGCCCCCAGTTAACACCTATGTTACTATTGTCCATTATTTTCATTGCGATGCGGTAATGAACAAACCCTGTGTTGTTTTACCCATTATCTACAGTAAAATATGTCACTGATGCAGTAAATGTCTATTTCTGTTCGTGTGTCAATTACTATGACATACAAAACATTCAGTCTCTGATATTTGCAAAATGTATCATATCAGCATCAGAAAACACATACACCCAATTACCGATCAACAATTACCTACCGCCGTCGGCGATACTTGAATGCTAGTGATGCCACGCTTATTTCAAGATAAGCAATTTATTTACGTGCCGATGATTCTCTCACTTTAAAGACGTATGCTTTTAAAATGGAACAAATTTATTATGTCACCATAGACAAATATAAAAATGGTCAGATGACCAGACAAACTGATGTGATGAAAGCTCAAACATAGTTTCCAATAAGGATAAATCATGGATGAAGTATAAAATGATAAAGTTCAAACAAGCGTTTGTAAATGATGTACTTTGTGTAGGCTTCGAGTGCATTTAAAAAATCCAGACTATTCGTGCTTATCGGAAGTATGGTGACAAAACGAAAGCGATAAGGCTAGTATAGAGAATTGCCGTAGAAACTCGCCGATTGAGATAGAATCCATCCAAACAGTCAATAACGAATCTATGTGTTCTCAATGAGCTAATATATTATAGTATATATAACGCAGTTTTTATTTCGTTCTTGTCATAAAACGGGAAAAAACTAATTACGTCCATTTGATAACACTTACAAATATACATACTTATGGTTATTGCTTCAAGGAACTCGATATTGTTGCAGTGTTACCACTGTTTTCAATGAAATAGACAAAACCGTCAATGGTCTGTGTGTGATGGGTTCCGCTGCACGGTGGAGCCAGCAATCTACAGCAATTACAGGCATGGGACACATAAAACGTGTCTTTAGTTTAAAACAACAGCAATCTGGCGACATCTACCATGGACGATTCCTATTCTGGAAATCAAATCGTCATTATTTTGATAATAGTTGTGCTATACGTCTATAAAGGACGTTTAAATTCATATTTCAGTTTACATAAACATTTGTATATATTCTGTGTGATCTACATAGATCACTTCATTCGCTGACAAATCTGTTCAACGTCGAGGTAATACATTTTCATGCAATCCGGCATCATAATAGATATTATCATAATGTAATATAATAGCTTCTCTTGAAAATAAACATTCCTTTCTGCAGTCAAAAGACGCGACAGTTTGAAAGCTTGTCTCTATCAATGTACGAAATTAAGAATTTTATTGTGTTTAAGTCCTTTAATTGCTCGAAGAAGTAGCACTTTAACACTCTCATTTTATTGATTTTTATTCGAGTAATGAGTTAACGGTTTTGGGTTTTAGTATTAGAAAGCTTCTGAATGCGTAATTTGAAATTAAGTAAAACCTTGACACACACTTTTCGAACATTTTATATTTTGTGACAATCAAGTGATAAACGTTTATGTTGTTTAACTCTACGACGTCGACGTCTTCACCAACATGAGGACTGGTGTGAAGGAGGAAACCTAGAGTGAAAAATAGATCAAAACAACTAGAACAGCTACAAAAGA